CAAAGCTTTTTGCTGATGGTACCCAAGTTAGTACTTTGTATGTAGAGGGAAGTCGTGAAATCTCAATGGGTGAAATACTCCTGACAGTGAGCCCCAACTTTTGAATATTCTCTCTCTTAACTTCCTCCATAAGTATTCTTTTATAATTCTTCCTTATTCTTCCCTTAAATCTTTCTGCTCTCTCTCATCTCAAGCCCAAGAATAATATGTTCAATTAAAAGTAACATGAAAGCTAACACAATGCCAGAATTCTCATTCTTGTGGAATGTACCATGAAATTTGTACTTAGTAGATGGTTGTAAAAAATGAATAAAGCCAATTTGTGAGCACAGTTTTGAGATGACAAATGAAATCTTGTATGGTGCAGAAAAACGTTTTAATCTGCACTCAGGTGGATATAGTTGTTAATATATAAGAATTACCTTGGTAAATAGCCTCATTGATGCTACTGACTTTGCCATATAGGATGCTGGCAGATCCCTTCAAGCCAGCCTATTTGTGAATGACACTTTGTTCTGTGCTGATTTCCTACTGAAAAACCTACTTAGACTTGCAAATTTTATATTTGTAAAAACACTCTTATCTCTCCAAATGTTGCTCTCAAGTCTCATCCAGACCCTGGTTTCTCAGAACTTCGTCTGTTTCCAGTTTGTGAATTATGTTGATGATCTTGCTCCAGATCTGTCAAGTTAGTATTTCATAGCAGCCAAGCTCTGACCTAGCAATAACCTGTGCTAGTCAGTGGAGTCTCAGAACTCAGCTGCAGGACCCTGAGATTGTACTGGTTGAGTGAGAAGCCCTTGGTGCTCCCCAAAATGTCCATATGATGCTTTTGTAAGACGAAGTTGAGATAAATGCGTTCCCTTTAGGAATGCAACCTAGTTTAGAGAAAGAACAGAGTTCCAAACATTCAAGGGACAAGGCAGGGTGGCAGGGAACACAGACATGGTTCTATGACCCTGTCCTCTCAACCCTTTCTATTTAACATAAAATAGAGGTGAATTCTTCCATGTGGCCCACAGCCCTTGAGATCTGAGCGTTGGCTCCTCTTTGTCTCTGGCTTCCCTTGCCTGTCTCTTTGATCATTAATTACTCCAGTTAAGTTATATAATTTATGAAGTTCATTTCAGCTAGACAAGTCCATGTTTCTGAATAATTACAGATTTAATATCAGCTTTAAGATGGAAAGGGGGAATTTATAAATTTCTCATTTCTAAAATAGACCAGCTTAAGGTTCCCAGGTCCAAGAGAAAGTCTCCAAATAATAAGAAACAGGATTTACCTCTGCATTTTAGTTTGGTGGAATATGCTTCTATCTTACAAAACTGCAGAGAAGCAGAAACCACTCAACCATACTGGTCACCTTCTCTGTGTTAGATCTGAAACCCCGAAAAAGGGGCACCAACTGAAAATCATCCTGTGTTGGTGGAATTAAGGCCCTGAGAGATGAGCTAGCTGTTGTGTTGGCAATGAATGCCATTCCACACTCCCCACTCAACTGAGAGTCAATACTCATGTAAGACTGACATGAGGGTGTTTTATGCTCAGTGAATAAAAATCAATATTAAAAATAAACAGCTATCATAGAGGTTGGAATTTGCTCATGTGTACTGTGAAGGGGAAGTAGAATGTCGGTAAGATAGACCTGAGAACTACTGGAACATGGCATTCTCTGTTGCCAAGGAACCATGGACTTTGTTCAGAGACAATACTCTCTAGAATTCTGCTTGTGAAGTGCTAGTGTCAAGAGATAACTAATGGAATGAGATGGCATGATACTGTTTTCTTGGTTTGTAAACCCATATATGGTAGAGTGTGTGTGTGTGTGTGTGTGTGTGTGTGTGTGTGTGTGTGTGCTTATTGGGTGCATATCATGCGTATGCACATACATGTGGAGGTCCCAAATTAACCCAGAATGTCACTCCTCAGAAGCTATCTTCTTTATTTGCTCAATTGTTTGACACTGGCTCTCTCACTGATCTGGGACTCAGCTGTTTATGCTAGGTTGGCTGGCCAGTGAACTCCAGGGATCCACCTGTCTCTACCTCACTGGTTCCGGGATTACAGGCTTTTTTTCCATCATACCTGGGTTGTTTGTTTGAGTTTTGCTGGGGCTCTGGGAACTGATACCTCATGCTTACAGGGTAAATACTTTAGCTGCTGGACTGTCTTCCCAGCCCCCAGAATTTGTGTTTTAACTTTCTTGGTATTGACTTTTTGAAAGGCAGTAAGATCTAAATTGTTGAGCAATGAATGTACTCTTTTTTTAGGCTCACGCACATCTAGCTACTGCTTGAATATTTCTAATTGGCATCCTATTCTGACTATGATTCTTTCTGCTTAGCAGAAGTCATGGTAGTAGTTTTACACATAAGATCATCAAAACATAACCAAAAATCCAATAAAGATTTTTAACACAAAATTTTAATAATAAAAGTGCATCTGAGAATTTAGATCATTTAAATTTTGGGTTGGTTCTTAAAGCTAAAATACACTGTGGACCAAGTTGGCACTTGATTTCTGACAGATTACATTTCAGATGCTATTGTGTGTCTGCAAGAATCTGTACACATCATTGAGAATGACTTTCTGGCCATTTCCAATATTATACATAAACCCAGCTTTGTGTGGCTTCCTCTAAAGGCAGGATGTAAGGGATGAAGCAAGATACATCCTGTTCACAGGGTTTCTGGGAGGTTGGTATTTTGCCCCTTCTCCCAGGACTCTAGCTCAAGCTCTAAGCCTGCCTCTTGATAGCTTTTGAACACAGACCCAACATTTCTGTGAGCTCTAAATTGAGGTTCCTAAATAGCTGGGATTAAATAAACTGCCCAGTTTTGCTTTATGATCCTGCTTTAACACACTGGGTTTTATTTAGCTCTATAATAGCTTCAAAGGGATGAATCCACAAAGGGAAATGGGGCAGGTCAGTGTCTTGCATTTCTCAGGGCTGTAGATCCCAGAAGCAACAGCAGTGATGGAAAATAGGTCAGTTAACCCTTGCACAAATTACTCCAATTTATGCTGATAACTGACATTCTTCACTATGTGAGACTTTACTAGGATCATCTTAACAAAAGTAATCTTTTTTTGGGGGGTGGTGGTTGAGGCAGTGTTTCTCTGTAGCTTGGAGCCTGTCCTAAAACTCACTCTGTGGATCAGGCTGGCCTCCAACTCACAGAGATCTGCCTGCCTCTGCCTCCCTAGTGCTGGGATTAAAGGCTTGTTGCCACCAAAACTCATCTTAATTCACAGTCTGTTTTGCACACTTAGGGTTTTGGTTCAGAGTGCATGATGAGTGTTTTTCTGATGCCTCACAGGTGCTTCTAAGTGTGATTTGTCAGGGTTTGTAGCAAGTTCTTTGGGAATGGACTTTTTCTGTAGGAGGCTATCTTCGGAGAGAGCTGTAGAACCATATTCAAGTCAAGACCTGTACAGTCTTGATCTGGTCACTGCAGATGCTGCTCTGTCTCTTCCAAGAGCTACACTTGTTTGTGGAGATGCCAGATATTCGCCATGTAGTTCATCCACAAACTTAAGCTTGAGGACTCTAGCAATGTTTGCATATTTTTGTTTAGTTTTGGTTTTATTAGTAACTTTTACTTTTTAGTGCCTCTCACAGAAGCTGAGTTAGTCATCCACTGATTAAGCTAAGTACTCTAATAATTCCATATGATTCTCTTAATGATCTCAAGACCCTCACAAATGGGTTCACATCACATTTTCTCAGACTATTTAGTAGGTAATTTAGACTATAATACTTACAGTTCTAACCAGTGAAAAGATTCAGAAGTAGCATAGAATAAGGAATAGTACTCTAGAATACATATTCATATATATGACTTTATATATAGCACATATATTATTCTTTCTCTCTCTCTATATATATATATACATACATATATATATGTATATATATATATATACATACATATATATATATATATATATATATATATTCAGATGCTAGTACTCTGGCTTTTACACAGTGCTGGGACTAGAACTTTGCTCCTCTTGTTTGTGCATCAGGTATTTTCTTGAGTAACGCATCTCCTCAGTTCAAAATAAAGGTTCTCAATAACAAGTATTCAGCAAGTGCTTTAGGTTCCAGGTAGAGAGGTACAATTAAATAAAGAGGCTTTATTGTTAAAATTCACATTCTAATTACCACCCTGCTTTCTTTTTTGTTTTGTTTTGTGTTTTTGTTTTTGAGACAGGATTTCTCTGTGTAGTTTTGGAGCCTCTCCTATCCTGGCACTAGCTCTGTAGACCAGGCTGGCCTTGAACTCACAGAGAACTGCCTGCCTCTGCCTCCCGAATGCTGGGATCAAAGATGTGTGCTACCACCACCTGGCACCCCTGCTTAATATGTCTTAACAACTGTAAGCATTTATATTAGAGGTTAGAATTAACGTGTATGATCTTCCATATTATATTTTACTACTTCATAATTTCTCATCTGATTTTGGTCTCCATATTATAATTCTGTCTGTATTCAGAAACTTCTCAGGGTAGTTATTGCTCTACTTGATCTCTAATAAACTGCTATTCTTGGATTCTGGCTTTCAAGTGAAGTCCTTCAAGTTCCGTGTACAGTGAATACTTTACTTACCTCTTTCAAGGCCTCCCTGAGGTGTACAGAATAGCCAGTGAAATCAAAGATAATGGTTGGTTTCAAGATGCTCAGGCAGCCTGATTTGTTCTTTCTGCCTCATTTTATCAAACACAAGTAGACGAATGCACTGAGGATTTCAAAAGCTATTCAAAACGATGCAGGTCAAAATTGAGAGACCTACTTGAAACTGTAGCAAGAGCTTCTGATAAAAACTCACATGCTTTCTGCCTTGTGAGCATCAAACATTCTTATTAAAGGAGATATTTTTGAATGCTCTTTTAAAATGCAGTTCAATTAGTAGCTATTCCTCTTCCTGACGAAGAAAATCATAGGAAAATTCTACAGTATTAGCCACTGTTGACCTCTGCTTATTTTTCCTTTGCAGACATTGATGAGTGTGCGGAAGGGCGCCACTACTGCCGCGAGAACACCATGTGTGTGAACACACCTGGTTCTTTCATGTGCATCTGCAAAACTGGCTACATCCGGATCGATGACTACTCATGTACAGGTAAATGGTGCCTATTTGAAAAAGAGTATTTCCTGTCTTTGTTTTACTTTTCTTTTGCTTAGATTTCTAAGAAGTGTGTCATAAATGTTTCTTCACAACAAAAAAATAAAGTGGAGAACATTGCATCTTGATTTAGCATTCAATTGTGAATCTTCCCTCAAGAAAAGAGTTCTTGGTATTGCATGAACTTTACTTGGGGAGACATGGAGAAATGTTTACTCAGCTTCATAGGGATTAATGACAGACTGAGGTTACTGTGATACCCTAGTCTTGCTTAGGGAACCTGTGATTTTATTTGGCCTATAGAGCATAATTGAGAGATTATTCACCTGAGTGTGAGTGATCCTAAAGCATCTATATATCGCTGATGAATTTCACTGCAGCATCATGTTCCTCATGGCTGTATACATAGAACCCTCTCAGGAATAATTTCACACTCATACACTCTGGCACCCCCTAAAGGCAGCTGTATGTAATTCTGCATCTGGAACAGAAGTATATACCACTAGAATGGAGGTACAGGAAAGAGTGGTTTGTGTCCCTCCTTTGGAAGTTTGAATTGTACCTTCTAGTACCATGTAAGGTATTACTTAGAAAGGAGACACTCATCTTAGTTTTATCTCAGGATCCTATAGGCTCTGTGTCTGAAACACATGGTATTTTCACCAATAGGGACTTACCTTCCACCTCTGGTGTCTGCCATGGGCAGTAGCAATAACCTGTATGTTATGGGAGCCTCTTGGACAAGCCTCACCAACAACTCAAAAGACACTCTTCTCCTGTCTGGTGTTGGGGTTTTTGTTAGGTGGTCTTCGGCACTTGGAGGGGGCATTGGTAATGACTTTTTTCAGAGTGCCATCATCTCTGAAGATCCAGTGCCATCCATTCCAAGAAAGAAATAGTTGGCCTCAGGAATCACCAAACATATCATTTTAGCCTCCCACAATATGCTGTCTCTATGTGCTGACTTAGAGGCCATCGCAAATGATGGCATAATACAAAAAAATAAATGACCCAGAGACAGATATTAGTGTTCAAGTTGAAGATCAGGGAAGCAAAGCAGTCGGCCACTAGCTCTCACCTCTAGCTCAGGATGAAAGGACTAATCCATGCACAGCTCTTCACGAAATCTCAAACTGCTGCCTCTCAGTTTGGCTGGAGAATGAATGCCTCATACTGACTACTGAAGATCCTGTTTCAATCTTTTATACCCATCTAGTGCTGGGATTAAATATGTGTGATCTGTTACTCCTTTAGACTGATTCAATCTCATGTATTCCTGGGTGGCCTTGAACTCAGAGAGATCTATCTCTCTTAATCCTGAGTCCTAGGATTAAATGTGTGTACTACCACCTGTTAGATTCTGGCTGCTAGGATTAAAGGTATCACCACTGCCTGATCTCTATAGTTTGAGACTGACTTTGCTTTTCTGAATCCTCAGTCAACCTTTAATAAATCATAAATAATATATTACTACAAGATAGCATTTTTGTATACTTTTTATCAAAATTCCTTATTTTGGAAAATTCTTTCTGGACGGATAGCCCACACTCAATTGCATAACTTAACATCCCAAGTAGGGGCATCCTAAGAATGATTTCTGCCACTCCCTTACAGTCCTGATTCTTTGGTTCATCTTGGATTCTCAGGATGTCCTCTCATGCCTTTGGCAGGTTACATTCATTAAGGATGCACATTGCCTGGATAAGATATAGAAAAAAGATGGCCCCATAGAGATTCTTTCCACAGAATGTTTATGCTAGATAGGCAACTCATCCTTAGTAACATGTCTTATCAGAGACACATTCTATACTATATGGAGAAGGACATCATGGGTATTGTCCCACAGACATTCTAGCCTCAGATAGCTGAGCTTCATCCCCCACAGCTGGGACAACACAACTCTTCCTTCCAATTTCATCTTAGGCTCTGCTGCATTCCTGTGTCACACTAGACTTTTACTGTTCCATGCACACAAATGTCTACTTACCCAGGGGAACATAAGCAATAGAACAAAGCAACAGTTACATCTGAATCTAGCTTCAGTTCCCCAGGCTTACTGCACACAGATGAGGCATTACTTATATAAGTACGGGTGGTCTCCCCACAGCTGTGTCAGTGAAAATTCTCACCCCAGCATGAATGATGACCTCTCCTTGTCTACATAGATAGAGTCTCTCTTTAGTTGATTATTCATACTTTTCATACTTTTTTTTTTGAAGCCGGGTTTCTCTGTGGATTTGGAACTAGCTCTTGTAGACCAGGCTGGTCTCGAACTCACAGAGATCCACCTGCCTCTGCCTTTCGAGTGCTGGGATTAAAGGTGTGAGCTACCACCGCCCAGCAACCATTCATACTTTATACACTCTTGATGGGGGATGTCTTTCTGTATGCTGTGAATATATGTTTCTCTTACTGGTTGATGAATAAAGCTAGTTCTGCCAATGGACAGGCAGTATTTGGCCAGGCCATAAATCCAAATATGGATAAAGAAAGTTAATAGGTGGAGTCAGGGAAGCACCATGTAGCTTCTGAGAAAGAAGAGGCCAGGATATCACCTATAAGCTAAACCCATGTGGAGATACACATGGTATTTAATATCATGACCACCCGTACTTATATAAGTAATGCCTCATCTGTGTGCAGTAAGCCTGGGGAACTGAAGCTAGATTCAAATGTAACTGTTTAATTTAATAGATTAAATTTAATAGATTAATAGAAATGGGTTAATAATTAAGAGAGAGCTAGCCAACAAGAAGCCTGAGCTATCCACCAGGTTATAATTAATATAAGCCTCTGTGTGTTTATTTGGGACTAAAGGGCTGTGGGACTGGGTGTGACAGAAACTTTGATCTACACACTCTGGTACTTCCTGAGAGCTATTAGGGGCAGATGGAAGGAAGTGGCTTAAGCTCGGGTGAGAGTCTAATGACCCTCCATATCCCTTCTGATGGGGGAGCCTCAGTAGACCCAACCTTGAAGATATTCTTTGGATATCACAGCTGCTCTAATTAAGATAGTCATGACTGTAATGCTCAGGAGATATAGTCTACAGCACATGGTTGCTCAGGTAGACTTTCATGCTCCTTGCTATCAAGGGAAAAGCTGAAGAATCAAGTCAAGATGATGCTAAGTATACACTTGAGTGTTTTTCTTTCTCAAATCTTGTGTGAATTACTAAGGCCACTTGAAGAAACAGCCTCTAAATGAAGCTTTATGTAGTAGAAGAACAATTACATAAACATTTTGATATTTTTCAGAAAAGGTTCTTCAGTCTCTAAGAGGCAGGAGAGCTAAAGTCACCGACAGTCTCCATATCTTAGTGAGACTGAGACACAGTTGAACATACATTGAACTGTCCCTTATGTTCATTTTCTGAAATCAGTACTATGCCAAGTCCTGCTCAGGGATGTCATGAGTGTGTTCAGAACATCTGGAGTTAGTCCATGGATTACTGTACATCCATAGGAAAACAAATGGTGCAAGAAGATTAGCTTTACCATCATAGGACTGGAAAAAAGGTGAAAATGAAAGGAGAGATTCCTTTGGAGTCTACCTTGTAATCGGATGATTCATAAAAATAACAAAAATAGCTAAAATCATAAAGTTGGACAGCACCTAAAACCCTTTTTGGTCATTTTCTGTTCTCTAACCCAATTTTATATTATTCATTCAGATAAAATGATCTTATACATAATCCATAGATTTTCCAGGGAAGGTGAGTCTACCATACTCCCTGGCAAACATGTGAACCTAATACTTCTGGCTAAGGTGCCATTCCACTTGTTTATGTATGTAATTGTCCACACAGAGTTGTTACTATGATGACCCTACAGTGTGTAAAATGCTGTGTTACACACCAGAGCAGAGGGAGCTCATCCTTGAAATCAGAGCGTTTACCTAAAATGACATGGATGAAAAGTGACTTCTCTTTCTTTGGGACATAACTAAATGCACCTGGCAGGCACAAAGGTATTTAAGAGATGACAAGGGGTTTACAAATTCATACTCTATGGTCACTCCAAACTAAACACTTATAAATTATGGGCACAATTCCCTTTTTCCTTAGTCAAACTTTTAAGCAGAGTGAGTGGTTGAATGCCTTGAAAGAAAGCAATAGAGAAGATGGTTCTTTTAACATAAAAATATATAACAGATGTCCTTGTGGTATGGATGTGTATCCTTTGGATATATGTCCAAGAGTGGAATTGCTAGATCTTGAGGTAGACTGATTCCCATTTTCCTGAGGAACCACCATACTGATTAACAAAGGGGCTGTATGAGTTTGCACTCCCACCAGCAATGGAGGAGTGTTCCCCTCTCCCTATATCCTCTCCATCATAAACTGTCATTGGGGTTTTTGATTTTAGCCATTCTGACAGGAGTAAAATGGTATCTCAGAGTTGTTTTTATTTGCATTTCCCTGATGGGAAAGGATGTTGAGCAATTTCTTAAGTGCCTTTAGGCCATTTGAGATTCCTCTATTGAGAATTCTCTATTTAGATATGTACCTGTTTTGGGATTTCTGCCTGGGTCTCATTGCTGCTTTAGCCCCCAAAATAACACACAGAGACTCTATTAGTTACAATACTGTTGGCCAATGTCCATAACTACTAATATATATATTTTTCAAGGTCTTATCTTACCAAGAATGCTAGACTCATGCATCCTCTCCTCCCAGGATTACATCTCGATTCTACTACTACATTTCCAGAATCTCTCCTAGTCCTGCCTATCTTGCTTCCCTATTGGCCAACAGGTTATCTTTAACCAATAAGAGAGACACATACACAGAAGCACTTCCCCCATCATGTACCCCATTTTTAAATTGGATTATTTGGTGTTTAGGTGACTAGCCTCTTGAGTTCTTTGCATATTTTGGAGATCAGCCCTCTGTCAGATGTGGGGTTGGTAAAAATCTTTTCCCATTCTGTAGGCTTCCTTTTGTCATGTAGACTGTGTCCTTTGCCTTACAAAAGCTTCTCAGTTTCAGGAGGTCACATTTATTAATTGTTGATTTCAATGTCTTTGCTACTGATGTTATGTTCAGGATGTGGTCTCCTGTGCCAATGCATTCAAGGGTACTTCCCACTTTCTCTTTTAAGAGGTTCAGTGTGGCTGAACTTATGTTGAGGTCTTTGAGCCATTTGGACTTAAGTTTTGTGCATGACAAAAGATGCAGATTGATCTGCAATCTTTTACATATCAGCGTCCAGTTATGCCAGCTCCATTTGTTAAAGATGCTTTCTTTTTTCCATTGTACAATTTTAGCTTTTTAGTAAAAAATCAGGTATTCATAGGTATGTGTTCATAGCAGAATTATTTATAATAGCCAGAACCTGGAAGTAACCTAGATTCCCCTCAATTGAAGAATGGATAAAGATAACGTGATACATTTACACAATGGAGTACTACTCGGGGGCAAAAAATAATGACATCTTGAAATACACAGGTAAATGGATGAAACTAGAAGAAACCATCCTGAGTGAGGTAACCCAGACACAGAAAGACAAACATTGTATGTACTTTCTCACTCACTCACTCAAAGTGGATGGATATTAGACATAGAGCAAAGGATAACCAGCATACAATCCATAACCCCAGAGAAGCTAGGAAACAAGGAAAACCCTAAGAGTGATTTACATGGACCCCCAGAGAAGGGGAAAGGGACAAGATCTCCTGAGTAAATTGGGAGCATGGAGGAGGGACGAAGAGCGGAGAAAAAGGAGTGGTGAAGGGGGGGAGAACATGAAGGATCAGGAAGGTCAAGGGGGGGTGGGGGAAGAACAGAGAAGGAGAGCAAGGAAGGAGATACCTTTTTAGAGGGAGCCATTATGGGCTTAATGAGAAACCTAGCACTAGGGAAATTTCCAGGAATCCACAAGGATGCCCCAACTAAGAA